CCCTCCCCCTACAAGCAAAGCAGCAAATCTGGGGATTTTGTGCCTTCTCGTGCAGCGCTACCGTAACCGCGCGAAAAGGTTTTACTAGGCAGAAAGTGTGTATCACTCAACAGGATGCCAAATTAACCCTCCTGCGAGATTACCAACTTTTGTATTCTTGCACTGGGTTAATAGTACCAATTATTTTTGTAAAGTATCGATCAATCTGCGAAAGGTTGCCAGCTAATTGACTAATTGATAGTGCGCAATCGCATCTAGACATTGGCTATTCGAAAGCACCCATGCGGTCACAATCGCGTTTGCCAGTCCTATAATTTAACCATCTAGTTCTGTGCCCTTCTGTCTCATTGCTCTTTGGGTCCACATGTGAAAAAGTTGGTCAAGGGGGTGAGCGATTTGCTTCGAGGTTGCGATAGCGGATAATGGCTACGCCGTTTTCTTTTTAGTGTGTGCGGTGCAATTGAGACGTAGCATTACTGAATCGTAAACCAATCGCTCTTTCTTTAATGGTCTGAGAAGGGGATTTGAGATTAGTCATGGCCTGTTTGATGATAAAGAACCTTGATCTATAGTGAGGACAAAGGGAGCGCCCCCCTCCCCCGAGAATGGGTCGCGAAATTTTTGATAGTTACTTACATGCGTTATAAAAATGTGCAAATGACCTTTTCTGAATTTCCAAATAGTTAAGATAATTTTTAAAGTTAAAAAAATGTTTAGCTTTGTAAAGAAATTTTTTTCGGGAACAAGGGACGCCACGCCCCCTTTTTTAAAATCTGTAGGTCATACCCGCAAAAAATTTAGAAAGCAACGCAAAAATTTTTCGAAGTGCTTGACTAACGACCTTCATCCAAAAAAAAAATTACCGTCGTGCCCCTCCCCCCGAAAAAAATCTCTGTATACGCCACTGCTGGGCATATATCTGTAGCGCTTTGTTTCTTTACAAAATTTTCATTAAATAATTTTTCCGATGTGCGATAAAATCGAGCGAGCGGTATATTTCTTATATATCCCTTACAAAAGATGTTCTGCAAACTTTAGTTTCAAAAAATAGAACAGAAAGTCTTCTTTTAGTGCTTATCTGTATATATCATTACGTTATTATATTTCAGAATGCTGAGGACAAGCAGAAGATTAGCAGCTTGCAGGCGGAAGTGACAAGATTGAAGTCTGCTCCTCCTCCGGCATCTGCTCTTGAGAGGTAAGTCTAAATATGTTCTGCCTTAGCTCAGAAGCAATCCTTTTTTTCAGCTCATCGCAGGATCTGAATGCGTTGAAGGAGAAAGTTGGAAGTTTGGAGCAAGAGAATGCGGTAAAATTGCCTTATCTCTTTTCAGTGTCATTGAAATCTACCATGGGCCAATTTTTCAGAAGCTTAGCAATGATTTGACTTCTAAAATTGGTGAGTACGAAGAGGTGAAGTTCCGGCTCAACGCCATGGCTCCGTCGTTTGAAAAGGCTCAAGCTCGTGTGGCGCAGCTAACCGCTGAAAAGAATGAACTAGTTGCTCGTATCGCTGTAAGATAATCTTTCCATGCAGTGCTTGGTTGTCTTAGAGAAAATTTTTAGTCTTTGGAGGGTCAAGCAAATCCTGCGTGGCCAGGTAGCCAGAATCGTCCAGCCGCCGTATCTTTATCGGCTTCGTCAGTGATGTCCACCGGATCGCAGCCTGATAGGTAGCAATTTACAAGTTTCTAACGAAATTTGCAATCCGTTTTTGTAGTCTTGGATCCGGCGATAGTGCTCCTTCATCTGTAACAACATCAAAACGACTAGCTTTCGATTCTCCGGTCAGGTTTGCGCCTACCGTAACGACAACAGCTGATACCATCTCTGGGGTTGGTTTTCACTTATAAATTTTGCTTTCGTTGTTGTTGCTAGATCATATGGTTTTGCTTGTAGATGTCACACTCTGCTGCACCACAATCCTCTTCCGCTGCACCTTTACCAGCCGGCTCCCTATCGGCACAAGTACCAAAATTGTTCAAGTCGAGCGTAGAACCTGCGTTCCCATCTACTCAGGCTACATCGACACCACCTCCTGAAGAACCACAGTCGAAAGGGGTGACTACCAGTGAAAGTGCACCTTCCGGACAGGTTTGTCAGAAGCTTCCGAAGTAGTTACGTCCATATTTGAAACAGTAGTTCTCTTCATTTAGGTACCATCATCTCCAATAACCTACTCCTTGGCGACATCATCAGCAGCTAGAATTACTCCACATCAATCATTGTTTGGAAAATCAGCACCAGTTGCTGCAAATGCAAATGTGAGTTCTTTCCGATTTGTTTCAGTCTTTGGAACAGGTGACTTTAGAAGCCAATGAAATGTTGGCAAGTTCTTTCTTAACCTCTTCTGCCTTCTTGTTTTTTCTTCTTTTCTTTTTCCTGCTGATTTCTTTCTTGCTCAATACCTCTTTATTTTAAGGTGAGCACATCAAGCGCAAACAGCACAACTGCAGAAGGCAAAGGAGGATCTGTAATTACTGAAGCTGAGCAAAGTAGTCAGGTAGTTTCATTTTGCATCTATTTTCTATCATATTTCGAAGTCATTCATATAAATTCCTGTTAGGTCAGCGGTAGTGCTGAAGTCCGAGGTGTAGAGGCTAATGACGATGATGGAGCTGGACACAACGGTAGGAGGTTGAGTTTACCGAATTTGGCCATCAAGCTTTGCTTTTCAGATTCAGCGGGAGAGTCACGAGACAGCGGCAGTGGAATGCCTGTCTCGTCATCGGATGGAAGAAGGAAGAGATCAGCTACAAACGAGACTTCTAGCTGTGAATCTAAACGTCATAGAGATAGCCCAAGTGAGATAGTGACCAGCAGTGAGGAGCGCCGCGATTTGGGTAGGCTACCTACTTGAAGTTCATTCGTTGCCGTTCAGAAGAGTTTTTAGACGTTAT